GTTAGAGCGTGGAGGAACGGACGTCGGCGTATGCAAGAAGGATTTCAGTTGCCTCAATCGCGAGCTATTTGGTAAGGCAGCAGCGGAACTGCAGCGGGAGCTTCGCGATCAAGTCGGGCTAGCTGGGGAAGGAGAACGTGAAGGTAAGAGCAAAGCAGGGTTTCTTCTTCGTTCCAGAGAGATTTTGAAGGGGGGCTTGGTAGCCGGTAGAAGCGACGTCTGGGAAATAGGAAGCGCGTATCTTTGCAGCGGGCTTGTCATGGAATACCAGGAAATCACAACTTGATGCCAGTCGATTCAGCAAGGTGTTGGATGTGCAGTTTATGATAGAAAGGGATACAGGGCGATCTTGTGGATTTAGGGTTTGTGAGTTTTGATGACAGAAGTGCGATGGATAAGGATGCTATCAGTGAGATGAACAATAAAGAGTTGAACATTCAACAAATTTCAGCGAAGGCCGAGCCAAGGGTGGGTTGGGATGATTCAGGCTACAATTATAGGAGTGGTGGCTACTCTTCTAGTGGCAGCGGAGGTTATCGTGGTGGTTCTGATGATCCACCTCCACCTATTCATTTTGATTGTTTCATGATTGTTTCGAGTGTGGACGCCTTAGACATTAGGCTCGTGAATGTCAATCTAGTGGAGCAGGCGGAGGAAAATTCTCTCTGATTCTAGAATTGGTAGTGGTGGAAAAGTAGGCTGCCGGGAAAATTTGATGGTAACGAAGAATTAGGGAGAGATAGGGATGGTCTTTGCGTATGAGGATCATGAGCTCTTATAAATGTTGAAGAGGAAGCAGAGAGCAGCATGTGATGCGACGGAGAATGCATCCACCTTATTGTCACTCAAGAACAACATTGTTACTTATGCTCATTTAGTTAAATGTAATCTTGCAACACATGTTCTTGTCTCCATATCCACTACGAGAACACCTGAATGGATAATAGATTTTGCTGCTTCTCGACATGTGACAGGTAACGCTGGGGAGTTCCCTACCTCTACTCGTCTAGCAGTTCCAGAGAGTATTCAGACTGCTGTTGGCACGACACAACTAATGGTTGATAAGGGTACAGTTAGGGGTATCGATTATATTACTTTGTTTAATGTTTTACATGCTCCTTCATTTTCAGTTAACATTTTATCCATTAGTTTTATTATTCATTTAATATTCTTAAGGTGATCTTTCAATAAAAGGGAATTGGCCGGAGACTTGGGATCGACATGTGACATAACGGAGTCTGGTATTTGGATAGAAAAGAAATGGACTCAGCTCTGAAATCCATGACTGGGAGTGTTGGAGCAGGAGGATCTGGGAGTGTAGTGGAGGATGTGTTATTGCTACATCATAAATGCATGAGACACTCTTGTTTTAGTTTATTTAGTCATTTGTATCCGTCTTTGTATGAAAAGACAAATAAATAAAAACTTGAATGTGATGTTTGTGAGTTTGTCAAGCTTACTCTTATATCAATTATGAAAATATGAGTTATTTTAGTTTTAATTTGATACATTCCGATGTTTGAGGACTGTGTTCTACAAGTTCAATAAATGATTATCGATATTTTGTGACTTTTATTAATTATTTTTCGTGTAATTTTGTCTTATCTAAGAAAAGTCAGGCTGATGTGTTTGCTTGCTTTAAAATTTTTTATAAGGCAGTTTAAACGCAATATGGTGTAGTAGTGATAGTACTGATGTTTGGTAATGAGACAGATTATACCAATAATGCGTTTGGAATATTTATCAATCCAATAGATACAACATTAAACCACATGTCTATACACACTGACACAAAATGGAGTGGCATAAAGGAAGAATAAACAACTTCTAGAGGTAGCCTGAAACATGATGATCTCAATGAATTTCCCAACACGCTTGTGGGGGAAAGCAGTTTTAACAGCCGTTCAATTGATCAACAAAATGCCCTCAAGAGTGTTATAGTAGTAATCTCCTTCTGAGTTGTTGAAAAAAGATAATGGCGGGATTCTTTTATTGAAGGTATTTGGTTGTGTATATTTTATGGAGGACAATAGACTATCAGTAGTAAAGTTGGATCCCAGAAATGTGAAGTGTATTTTCATGGGTTATTCTGCTACCCAAAAGGGATATGTTTGTCGGAGCCCAATAAAGAGGAGATTGTTTATGAGTATGAATGTGACATTTAGAGAATTCGAACCGTACTATTCCTTAAAGGTCATCTCACCATTTGGTGACTTACCAGATAATAGAGATATGAGGTGTGAGGGGGAGAGTAGTGATGGTGAGAAATTGATATATGTGGGAATGATGTCTTGTCCTGTTGTGTGGGAAGGATATGCTAAGGAAGGGTTAAACAATGAGAAAAAAAAGTCTGAAGATGTTGAGATTCAAGCTCAAGGAGAGTCGAGTGTATACAAGGAGAAGGGAGAATGGGGTAACAACATTCGCCGTGCCACTTGTGCCATCAAATCCCTTATCCCGGCCAACCCGATTGATGATACACCTGCATTATCCACCTCAGAGTCGAATTACACAGGTGATATGATTTCTCTCACTTCTCCCACTCCCATGACTTTAAAGAGGGCCTCTCGCAACAATACGGGTCATTCTCTTGATCATTATTATTCTAATAGTTTTGGTTTCTTACATGACATTACTCAGTTTGCCTCATACTCTAATATATCACATGTATATGGAGCATTCATTGTATCTTTGGACAATATCTCTATACCCAAGTATTGGTAGGTGGCTAAGGAGGATTCAAGATAATTTTTATTATATCTAAACAATTATTTTCTTCATTATCATTTTCTTAGACGTCCAAACTCTACTTATTAACAAGGAGATTCTTATATGAAGGAAATGATCACCTCATTAACAGAAAGCGAATTAGAAGATAGTGGCTTTTTTTTTTTCTCTCGCTTTCCTTCCATTATTGGCACTTTTTCTATGCCCTAGTTTGTATCATTGGGATATATGTGATTAACAAGTATAAGACCAATAATAATAGTAATTTAAATGCCTAGCCAAACAATTACTTCTCAAGATGATTGCAGGAATTTTTTTTTTTATAAACGCCCAAGGGCTAATTTTATTGAAATTGAAAAGATACATAGAGGTTATATGAGAGGACCCAAAAAAATGTGTCATACCCATACGATACATCAGACACTAGCATCCTAAAAGGATGAAACATAGATAAAACACAAAAAAACAAAACTTGCAGGAAATAAATTGCTAAGCATGAGCCAGCTTGGTCTTGCCTCAGTCTCTGGTTCTAGAAGCAGAGACAACTAACAAATTGCTGAGTGTCGTTTCATTACTCGAAGTTACTAGACTAGCATATATATTGTCCAACTCATGACCAAAAAAAAATTTTAACTAGTTAACACTGATTGTCACATATACCTATATTAAGTTGGGGCATTTACATATATTGATATACATTACATCTCATGTATTTACCTAACAATTAAACATTCATATTTACATGTACACCACTCAAATCTTTAACATTGCATCAAACGCCATCATAAATATCTTTTTAAAAATTCCACATTTTATGTATAATGTTATGACACCAATATGTTATAAGTGTAAATATCAAACTTTAGGTGTTAGATACATAATTACATAAGAGTTATTTAGTATGTATGTAAATTTTCCATTAAGTTATTAAGTTTTCCATCTTGCTTTTTTCTTATATATCTTAAATCAATAAAATCTTTTGGATGATTTGCATGCATATAATTTAATTCCTATGTATTTACATATGTAACACTTAAAACTTATGTTTTTACATACATGCAACCTTATTGATGCATGAAAAGATGCATTCAACCTTTCAAGTGTTAAAATAGTGATATTTTTTTGTGATATGAAAATTTTGGGTGGTATAAATGTAATAGTTAAATTTTAAGTTCTATAAATGTAAATACATAGGAATCAGTTGGGTATTTATGTAAATGCCCCAAAACTTTTTCAAGCTAAGTACTTTCTTTTATTATTTATTTTAGCCTTTTAGGCTTCAGTACAAACCAAACAGTGGGCAAAGTATGCAGACCAAGGAAGTCACTATATGGTTTGAACAGTCTTCTCGAGCTTGGTTTGACAGATTCAGGAGAGCAATAATAAGTCAGATCAATGTTGACCACACATTGTTTGTGAAATGAAATGGTGGTCACACCACTATGCTTGTCTTGTATATGGATGATATGATAGTAACTAGTGGTGATGAGGGAGAGATTGTGCTGCAGAAGGCAAGATTGAGCCTGGATAACTTAGATGCTTTCTTGGGATTCAAGTTGCTTGTGGAGCGGAGAGGATTGCCCTATCTCAGAGGAAGTTTGTGCTAGACTTGCTCACAGAGACAGACATTTTGGGATATAAGCCTGCAGTTTCACCAATTGATCAGAAGGGAATGTTAAGTGTAGATGAAAGGGAGCCAATTGATCAAGAGAGGTAGCAGATGTTGATAGGTCGTCTCATCTATCTTGAGTCACACTGGACCTAACATCTCATTTGCAATAAGCATGGTGAGTCGTTACATGCATGATCCAAGGGTCACATGGATGCTATGTATCAGATTCTGAGGTACCTGAAAAGTGCACCAAGGAAGGGGTTGATTTTCAGGAAGAATGGACATATAGGGATTGAGAGTTATTGTGACTCTAATTGGGCGAGTTGTGCATATGAGAGGAGGTCCACATCTGGATATTGCATGTTTGTAGGGGGCAACTTGGCCTTTTGGAAAATTAAGAAACAATCGGTAATAGCAAGGTCAACAGCAGGGGCAAAATATAGGGTCATGGCCTTGGGAGTTGTCAAGATGATGTGGCTGAGAACCTTATTGGTAGAACTCAAGGTGGACTAAAGAGCTAAAATGAAGTTGTGGTGCGACAACAAGTCAACAATCAACATTGCCAACAATCCGCTGCAACACGATAGAACCAAACATGTGGAGATTGATAGATTCTTCATCAAGGAAAAGCCGAATAATGGACTACTGAAGCTACGTCATGTAGCCACTAGAGAACAAGTGGCTAACTGTCTCACAAAAGGACTTAGCTCATTAGATTTGTATAAGTTATGTGACAAGATGAACTCAGCGGATATCTTTCGCCCATCTTGAGGATGGGTGTTGAGATTTGTATCTAGTTTAAACTCCTAATTGTATATATGAAATATAGAAGAAGTCTAGGGATTTATTTGTAAATTGTTGTAAGGCCTTGTATAAGCCTAAGTGATTAATGAATAGAACATGTTTTTCTGGCATTTATTTCTATTGAAAGGCTTGGTTTGCTTCCTAGTTATCGATGATCTAACCGTGATTAGCCCTACTTCACTCTGAGTGAGCTAGGGACCCTCTTGAATTCGATTTGAACCAAAAAGCACTGATTGTATGGTTTAGTCTCAGGTTTGATTAAGTGTTTGGTTAGTGTTTATCTAGCCACTAAGAAAATCTAATAAGAGCCCAATTAAAGGGCACCCACGCTAAGATCAAATCCTAGGCTGATAGAAATAAGTCGACCTCGTAAAAAATGAGGTCAATATCACAGACCTCCTCATTTAGTTAATGCCTTGGTACCACCTCCAATCGATCAATTCTCCGATCATCTCTTTCAATTGTTCTCCTACCAAAATCCTAAAATTTCATCCGGATTTCAAACTTGGTTGTTGACCAGGAAGGCTTTCCGCTGATCAACACTAGTTAATCCAAACTTGACACCTAAGGTCAAATCCATGTAAATTATATATCTATGGCTAACCCAACCTAAATGTTAACATTTAGGTAAAACCCGACCAATGTGGTAGAATATTCTAAGTTCCGTGGACATGTAGGACTACATTTAAAGCTAGCCCAAAAAAGGAAACAAAAAAGACATACAAGCATCAAGATTCACAAAAAACACCAAGCACAATATCATCATCCCATCCTTGCCCTCCTCTGCCGACCGCGCTCCCTAGGAAAGAAGGGTGTGCCATTCTTCAGAAAAGTATTTATTCCTTTATGTATTTCATTATTATATTAGGTGCTTATGAATAATGGCTAGGTGGCCAATGACCTCTTTGAGCTGTTATTCTCTTTTGGATATAAAAAGGAGCTCATGTCGGCCTTATTATTCAAGTCTAATAAATGTTAGTTCCAAACATTATAGATCTCTCTCTCTCTCACTCACGCACGCACGCAAACCAATTGACCTCTCTGTCTCACTAGGCAAATGATGCAAAACAATCTTCAAAAAAAAAAAAAGGCCTAAAAAAAAAAAAAAAAAAAAGTTATCAGACAAATGAGTGGTATGGATGACATAATCCGACAACAGAATTTTGCCGAGT